GGATGATATTCTCCCTAACGATACCAAAGTGTGGAGGAGGTGGAAGACGACCATTTTGTCAAGAATAGAGCAGGAATACGAAATGAATTTTGAATCGGCCGATTGGCATGATGAAAGTTTTGACGAACAGGAGAACACTCTCTTGAAGACCCTCATCAATGACGCCCAGGCTGCCTATCATGGGTACTCCAGATACCTCCGACCACCTGAAGTCGAGCTAGGTGCGCGATTAATTTGCACCGGATCGTTACTCACGTCTCACTGCTTACTTTACGATTCTTCAGCGACGTTCTCCAGGTCACCGACAATAGACGAGTGAAGATTTCTGGAACAGTTCTCTGTCCCCCCTTGCCGTGCCGTATTCTGCATTCGAACCGTATTACCTCATGGCGTGTTATACCATATTTTGGTTAGCACCCATTGGACTCCGTTTTGAATTTATCTTCGTTGTTATGTTGGACTATAGTTGTCGACCGCACAGTACGTATATGGTTGACCGGCATCTGAATAATCATACTTAAAACCCGATCCCGATATTAACCCAATGCACAGCTGGATACACATGGTGCTCCTGAAGATTAAGAACGTGATAATGTACAGTGTACGTCTACTCTTTCCATGGGTAATCAAACTTCGGCTGGTCCTTACGCCTCCACAACTTCTTCCTAAAGATTGTTCAATCAGCAAGGCAAAGCAGTATAGTTTAAAAATATACATACTTCTTTTTCGTAGGGACGTGCTCCGCAAACACTTCCACGCAATACTTAACCTTGAACTCACGAATGAAGCGCGGATCCCTGCATTAAGATTAAACAACCAAGATAATGTGTCTATATTCACGCTCACCAAAGCTCGCTCGCTATTCCGAGATCTTTGCAGCATCGCATGAGGGCATTGCTCTTACAGCCTTCAGTAGCTGTAGGGATATTGGATGGATCAAAGTATTCTTGTTCACCACGAGCGACTGCAACCAAGCTACAGGAAAGGAGATTCAGATGTCGCTAGGAGTAAGAAAAGATATACACACCGGCCCTGGCAGACAAGCGCATACTCCCTGCTCACAACCTTAGGCCCAACGTTGGTCTCACTGCGAGGGGCGAGTCCCCATCCGCCTGGTCCAAATGCTTTGTTAAGGACGCGGCGATACTTGATTTCGGGAAGGTAGATCAAGCCATCTAGGAACATGAATTAGGAACATAATTCGCAAACCCATGCACTCGAACCATACCTGGCTTCATCTCTATATCCATGTCGTCCACAGGCGCCAACAAAATGTTAGCGATGTCCTTTGAAAAGGCTTGAGTAGAGAGGCCATGGTAACTCGTTGACCAATCAGTGGACCCAATGTCGCCTGCTGTTGTAATAAAGTCGCCAGGGAAAGGTGAAGACAGGGATGCGGAAGAAGGCACGCTCTCAAGTGGGATACTTCCATTCAAGGCTTCAGAAACATCGATCTCCTCTGACGTATTCAGATTCTCTGCACTTCCTACACTCGTACTAGCAGTTGCCTTTGCTACTTTGGGCGGGCTAGAGGATGGAGTTGACGTCTTTGGTGTCCATGTCCGCGTAGACGCCGCGTACGTCCTCGAATGACAGAACAGACCGTGTCAAGGCAGCTTGACGTGTCGCCCTTAATCCGAGCAAAACAGCTCTATGTGCGCTGTTGGTGAACGCCGACATCATATGTTGGTGTCACAAAATCAAACTTGTGCGGAACTTTTTATGACAGGAGGCAACAGTGCCGCGGGCTTTCAAATTTCAAACTTCGCCATGCTTGAGCTTCGTCTCCGAATGCTCGTTATGGGGATCAGTCGAGCACGACGAGCACTACTGATGAGCACACCATCCTCGACACTATCTGCCCGTCCTCACTCTCGTGCGCTGCATCAACGGCCATCCTCCAGCTTATCCCAGCGCCCACCTTCCAGCGCATCATTTGGGAGACCAGTTTCAAGCGCGTCCTTGCGACCTCCATCTCGCGTTTCTCGTCCAAGTTCGCGCATTTCGCGACCGGTCACCAGACAGTCCACGCGACTTTTGCCTTTGTGCCAGACACTCATCACACAACTCACTGAACTCGATTTAGAGAACGATGAGGAGGACTTCCGCATTGCCCTGGATTTCGTTTCTAGGAACTTAGAGCATGCGACAGCAACGAAAGGGGGTCCGAGCTCTGACATGGCTACCATGGATAGGCGATTTCACGGGTACATACAGTTGTCTTATCTGCACAAAGTGTTATTCAGCCAATGCATGTTCATTCAGTTTCATCGAAAAATCACGTATACAATCCAATGATACACTTGCGGAAGCATTGGAGATATCGTACCGGAAAGTGAAAGATAGCGCGAAGGAACTCACGAATATCGATGGCGACATCAAAGTACAGTCCCTCATAATCGCGCGTAAGTGCGCTGCTCAAAGATTCTTCACAGCTTTCGCATCTTCCGGACCACCTGCAACTGCTTGTGAGATCATATTCATCCTATGCAGTCGAGAAGCCAACAGCTTGATAGGCGCTTCTGTCTGCTGCACCAGTGGCATCTACTCTCAAGCACGCAGATGCATATAGTCGAGGCGGTCAAAAATCCACCAGAGGCACCACCCTCTCTCACCTGGAAGGACATCCTGGACGAAGAACCCTTTGAGGGACAACACTGGGAGGGTGTTTACGGTTTGCCTCCAGGAAGCACGATAGAAGGTTGGGAACAAATGAGTGATAGTAGTACCCCTTCGCTTTCACCCTGGGACGAGGACTCGGACGACTTGGATGATAATGACTCGTTTACCTACACCGAAGATCCGCCCTCATCTCCTGTTCCTGTGGAACGAATCTCCTCCTATGGGCAGCCAAATTTAAGCCTTTCATACCATCATCGTAGGGTTGTGGAGGAGCTGCAAGCTCGACAGTACTGGAGAGAAGAATGGCGAACAGATGCCGATGTATCTCAACCATTTAATTTGGGCGATGCATCAACACTTGGTAGCTTGCTCGTATTCTGATGTTTTTATAGCTGATGACTGTATAGGTCCTTCGTTGAGCCGAGCCCTTGGTGAAAGAACAACTCTCTTGATTGATGGGCCTGAACACGAGGTAAGGTTTGCGACGTCAGAGAGAGTGATAATAACTCACCATTCCTACAGAAATATATCAACGAGCATGACGCTGTTCGTGAGGTACTCATGTGTCTCCAAGGACGCAAGAACTTCATGATCACCAGCAACTCGAGATCCCCGTCCCTCATGGTATGTACCCGCAATATACAGATTGCACTCGCCCTTCTGATCTCCTGTAGCGGCCATCACCAAGTGCTCCTCGCCTGATTCATCTGACATTAGCATCTCAAACTTCTATCCTATCGTCCTTTGCGCAACTTGCAAGCAAGATGTCCCACATCAGAAAATTCACCTCGGCAGTTTTTTCCAATGTGTTTTCAACCTCAGACCCACCTCTGAGCTCAATGCACCTTCTATCTCACAACACGCGTTCGCAGACCATCGAAGCTTTCGCGGATGCAGTCGATTCTCAGCTACAAAAGTTCGACCGCTGGTGCGCTGACAAAGAAGAACGGATATGTCGCGCCCATGCAGGAGTAGGCGATCAACTGGTCGTCAGTCTACTGAGTCTCGAAAAGGACGTCAGAGATGCATTTTCAGTGACCTTCGATCTCCTTTTGGCCATTCTGCGAGAGCTGGTGGGCTATGTCGTGCAATCGGATAATGCGTCCGACGAAGAAGTCTGGTTGTTGGCATCCCTATCTAGCCGCGTACCGCCCGCGGCTGTTACCGCCCATTTACTAGACGCATGTCTCCGTGCTGCCGAGGAGCAGTCCTCGCTGGGAGACAAAATCACCGCCGAAGCTCTCACTGAAGTGTTCGTCAGATCCGCACAGCCTGTTTGGGCGATGGTGGGCTGCTGGGCCATGGATGGGATGCCAGTGCGGGACACGTGGGATTCTGAGAATCACACCCTAGATGAGGAGTTTTTCGTCGAGGATAACGAACTCCCGCTTATTGACCCTGATTTCTGGGCGGAAGGATATGTTCTTCGGACTTTGAGCGACTTTGAAGCGCCCAGAGGCGGTGCGCAGGCACTTTCGGTCCCGGTATTCCTGGAGCGTATAGCTGATCGTATACTCGAGACCGGCAAAGCGGTTGGCTTACTACGAATTTTGGGGATCCCTTTACTGGACGATCCAGATGGCGATCCAGTGGATGATCAGTGGCCATCACTCACAATGTTGATAGCACAGCACAAAAGGGGTGCTTCAGATCCAGAGAGTCTCGCTCATCCTTGTCTTCGACAAAATTGCACCCTATTACACATCTTCGGGAGTCCAGCTCACTCATGTGCTGACCGAAGACTGCGATCTTTCACGCCACATGACAGGCCATCGAAGGGACTATATCTAATGACCAGAGGAGACATTCATCAGCCATTTCGCCGATGTCATCTTTGCAAAGGTAAGTGCCATACCCACCCTGCCAGTAAGCGCTAATGCAGAGCGCTAGATGGACAGCCAGCAGCACTGGCAAGACTTCCATTTCCTAAATAGCGCATTCAGGGATGTCGTGGATGCTAATAATACCACAAAGTGCATCGAGACTTCCCTCGTTCGTCTCTCCTATCGGGGAAGTAAAACCACCGCCATCGCACAAACGGTGAAAGCCCTTGATGGTCTACTCGTCGAGTATGCTGTGCCTTTTCCATTGGCGTACATCTTCACGCCGCGTGTGATGTCCATCTATGGGTCGATCTTCGTGTTTCTTCTGCAAATACGGAGAGCGAAAAGTGTTCTTGAACGCATCCTTGTAAGGGGTGAAATAGGGAGTGAACAGCATATGAAGCATGAGCTGAAGGTATTTTATGCGATGAGGGGCAAGCTATCGTGGTTCATCAAGTGTGTCCATTCTTGCTGCGATGGTTGTTTGCTGACCCTATTTTTTTCAAGCACGCTGTTGAATTTCCTGACGACCCATGTGAGCTTCCCGTCTTTCAAACCACCAGTGCTCTGACAATCTATCAAGGTCCTATACTCTCAGTTAGCGACATTCCATGAGAACTTCAAGGGGGCAAAGTCCCTTGATGAGATGATCAAGATCCATAACGACCAGTGAGTTTTCATTGCACCTTACGCTACAACAACCCCGCTCATATGCAGCCATCGAAGCTTAGACACAATCCAGTGTGGTTGCTTGCTTCAGCCCGAAGTCTGTGTTTATTGATGATTTGTTGGTCGCGCTGATGATTGTTCAAGACTTCTGCCCTCCATCGGGCTGTTCTATCAGCACTCGACATGTGTCTTCATTTCAGCAATATTTTCGTCTCGTTTTCCGGTGACAGTACTCATGATATCTCACGGCTTTCTATCATTATGAAGCGCCACCGAAGTCGTCGCCAGAGACGGCTGCATCGAGACGTCATTGGATTTTCTACGCCCAGGATCATCTCGAATGATGAAAGCGACGATGACGACGACGACGATGAGATAACGGGCAATGCACCCGAGCCTTCGTTTTCCCTGGCTGCCTCGGTGATGAGCTATGAGGGCGATCTGCCCGGTCATCTGGATAAGTTATCGTCGGAACTGGATGGTGTTGTGCGTTTCGTTCGCCGAGGGAGCGAGAGCTGTGCGGTAGGGAATGTCTAAAGCTGCACCTGCTTTTGGGGTTCTCGCGTTCGCATTGGAAGATTGGGACTCGTGATTCAGTAGTAGTAGTGAATTACTGATTGAGAAAGCTATGTACATGCATGGTATATTTGTTACAGACATTTTGTTGATTACCGAGCTGACTACAAATACTTAGCTCCTGATACGATAGAAGTGTTGTCCAGTGTCTTGCTCGCATTGCAATTGATCACATAACCGCAGCACCACCCTTCGTGTCCACGCGGCGATTGATACCACCGAGAAGGACCTTGATAAGCATCTCAGCATTCAGTTGGCCAATATAGGGTGTTGTGTCGACGATATCCTGGCGGTGTTTTTAGTAAAGATTGCCTTGATAGATAAGATTGTGACATACCCGTATATGATGTGTCTGTTTCAAGTTATCATCCAGCTCTCTAAGGAACTGTGTTGCGTGTCTCGAAGATCCTATCTGAACGAACTGTATCCCAACCTATGCAAAATCTTTGTCGGTACCTAGTGCAGTAAAGAAGCCATGTGTAATTACCTGTGCAAGTGGCCACTTATCGGCCTCAAGTCGCCTGGCAAAAGAGACAATCACACTCTCAGGATCGTCCGCTACGTGAATATGTCAGGGGAAGTCAAGTATTATGTGTCGCACAAACTCACTTGGCGCTCCATCAGTGATAATGATCACATTCACGGGCTTGATTTGCTTGCGTGCAAAATAGTCACCAGCGTCCTCCCGTCTCTTTGCAGCGTCGAGGTCACGGAAATAATCGCCGAGGATGACATCGAGGCGGTGCCCGATAGGGGTTGGGCCGCGGGGCTGGAGGTTGGCGAACTCTTCATGGACAACTTTGGAATCCTGTAGAAGCGTGATCAGCGTCAATATATGACGTGTAGGTACTCTACTTACTTTAATTCCTGTCAAGCTTCCGCGGTGGTTCAAGAAGTGTATGTCAACACCATTTGCGTCATATTTGCTCGCTACATCCGCAAGTGTGGCCAGTGCCTGTTTTGCCTGAACAAGACAATTTTAACCACCATGAGCAAGATACGTAAGGCACAACGTACCTCTTTCCATAGTGAACCAGCCATAGATGAAGAATCGTCCATGATGATAACTGTGTCATAATGGCGCAGAGTCTCAAGCGCGTCTTCCAATGATTCTGCACGTAGAGGCTGACGGAGGTATTCTGCTCGGGCCGCAAATCGAGAAGCTGGTCGTGGGATCATATATAAATAAATATTATGGTGTGACTTTGGAAGGAAGCGAATACCTTCAGCGTCATTTGAAGAGGACCGCGTCGTTGCTGGTGTGGCAGATGTAGAATACGGTGGGGGCGCTGATTGGTAACTGCTGGTGTTCCCAGCAAAAGAAGATTTGCTCTCCTTTACCTGATCAGCAGAAAAGTCACCAAATTGGCCCCTGGACCGTGATCGCGACTTTGACGGTCCGTTTCCCATGATAGTGATTGGTCTTTGAAGAGAGGATGAAAGCGACACGGATGGTGAGCAGGGAATATGGGGCGAGTATGTGGGATGAATATGGAAGCAATGGATAGGTCAGGGGAGATAGAAGAGGACTTAAAACCCAGCTGACGAACAACCATCGCTTTTATAGCCGTTGGTGCTCATGGCGTAATAATGGAGAACCTTTTCCAATGCAGTGGAGAGCCGCCAGGCCTCAGAGCTGCCACTTGGCCGAGGCCATTGTGCTAGGCGGATGTTTCGGATATTCCACAGCCGCCAGTAGTGCCAGAAAACCATGTGGAATGTTTATAATTTGCTGTGCAAGTTTGAGCACCGCATTCATGACAGTATAGTGCCTTCAAATCTATTTACCACGTTCAAATCGAAATCAGTTGCCTCTTTCTTCTGCTCGTATATTAGAAGATACACCGCTGCCGTCGTTTCGGTCCTGTACTATCCCTTCCGGTGCAATCGGCACCCCACAGAAGTCGGCAGGTCACACATTTTGGCAGGAAAACGTGACACTTTTGTTACAATTGGTCACAGGCAGTCACACAAAACCCTGCGAAAAAGCGTGACTGCCGACTTCTGGGGGGTGCCGAGTGTACGGGAACAGATAGTAGTGCTATACCTTGATTACTGTACATGTCTTACTTTCGCACAGCCTCGTGTTTTCTGACACTAATTTCTGACAGACCGCTTGTAAAAGAACATCACGCGTACGACAAGAGAGCTGTATTCCTGTACATCCTCTACGACAAGGGTGCTGAACGATCCGCTACTCTGGGAAATGCATTGGCACTGGCCAATACTACCATCTGCTTCTCATGCGAAATATAACCTCGCATATATCCCTGATAAATCATATTCGCAACATAGCATTCAGCTTCTTCCGGGGAGACGTCGATTCCCTTTAATCGCAACGAGCAGTGGAACATAGATATAGGAATCCGTGTGCTTTGATCGGTTGCCACCCAGCTTAATGAAGGTAGTTAGTACATGCGCCTTGGCATCGCTCACCCGTGATCTACGTACACGCGTCTGAACAGTCCCCTGATACATAGCTCTCTTGCTCGTTCCAACGTTAACCACAGGTTGAGCTCCA